AGCGATTTTCAGAACCCTCAGGAGTATGCTAAGATACACACATTTGCCCACCATGGACCCCCATTGGGACCCCAAAGAGCATGAGAGTATAGAGAACATATTCCAATATAGAAAGGCCGTCATGGAGGGACTGAGGAGAGGGTCTCAAAAAACAACCAACCTTCACAAGGTGTTACAGGTTAAGCAGGAAAAGGATGAGAGCCCTGGGTGGTTCTATGAAAGGCTAAGTGAGGCTTTTCAGATGTACACCCCATTTGACCCAGAGAGCGCTAAACACCAGACAATGGTCAATATAACCCTGGTTATGCAAAGTGCTGAGGACATTAGGAAAAAGCTCCAGAAACAGGTTGGATTTGTGACTATAAGTACCGCTCATTGAATCAGGGCCCTTCCTGGCGGTACTTATAGACTGTGTCATAGGTATCCTAGTTTTCCTTCCTAGTATTAGGGAAAGGAGTAATAGAGGGAGAAGGAATAGCCCTACCAGGGGGATTTTTGATGCTGATGCTGGTAGAGAGAGTATCTGTCCTATCCTGAAGCTTCTGGTGATACCAGGATTGGAAGAATTTTCAGTCTTCCAAGAATGGGGTTTTAAAATAAAGTGAAGAAAGGCAAATAACCCAATTTTTTAAATGGGCAAAAGATTTGAACAGACATTTCTCCATTATCAATGCCAATAAGCACATGAAAAGTGGTCAGCATCATTGATTATTGGGAAAATGCAGATCATAATGAGATGCCACATCACACTTCCTATTTTGGCTATAATCAAACAGACAGACAGACATGGAATGTGGAAAGCAAAACTCTGTGAAATAATTTTTTTTTTTGAAATGGGATCGCACTCTGTTTCCCATGCTGGAATTCAAGGCACAATTATTGCTCACTGCAGCCTCAAACTCCTGGACAATCCTCCGGACTCAGTCTCTGGAGGGATTACAGGCATGTGCCACTGCTCCCTACTTTGCCTTCAATTTTCAAACAAAATTTCCAAAGCATAAATTATTATGCAAAAGAACCCCCCGAGAAAACCAACACAAACACTGAATGCAAAAGGCTAAACAGCATATAAGTAGCCAAATTAATGGTATTCAGAGAAGCAAATTAAAAGACTGATTGCCAGAAAATACATTTTAGCTGTTAGACTTCGAAAAAATTAAACATCTAGACAGTGCTAGATGGTGTTGGGGATGAGGGATTTAGGAATTGTCATGTGCTACTAGTGGATATATAGGTTGATGCAGTCCTTCTGAAAACTTCACCTTTCTGTATCTGGCTAGGTATCCCCCCAGAATTCTCATTTACATAGGGGGTTGCTTTGGCAGTTGACAGTTGGAAGCAATCTGGTTATCCATCTCTTAAGAACTGGATTAGTAAAATGTGTCAGATACATCTGAAGCAGTTAAAAGCAATAATCCAGATATACAGATAGCAAGATGGCTAGATCTTAAAAATGCTGAGAAAAGTGGAAACTGAATTAAATATATACAATTTTAAAATACATGTCCAAAAAAATGGACATTATACCCAAAAGTATACAAAAGAAGGACACATATCTAAAATATCAAAATAATTGCATGTGGGGGAAGGGGAATGGAGCTAAGTAATGGAAAGAAAAGTGCACCAATAAAGGGATGAATGGATGGATAGAGGGATGGATGGAGAGATGGATGGGGGATGGATGGAGAGATGGTAGAGAGATGGGGGCGGGGCATGGGTAGATGAATTAGCGATGTATGGGTTTCTCAAACAAGAGAGGGACCTTGCTCTGTCACCCAGGCTGGAGTGCAATGGCGAAACCTCAGCTCACTGCAACCTCTGCCTCCCAGGTTCAAGCAATTCTCCTGCCTTAGCCTCCTGAGTAGCTGGAATTACAGGCATGCGCCACCACGCCCAGCCACTTTTTGTACTTTTAGTAGATACAGGACTTCACTATGTTGGTCAGGCTGGTCTTGAACTCCTGACCTCGTGATCCAACTGCCTTGGCCTCTCAAAGTGCTGGGATTACAGGCATGAGCCACTGCACCCAGCCAATGCCAATATTCTTTAAGAACACCATTGGAGGACCTCTATCGAATATCTCCTGAAACCGATAAGCAACTTCAGCAAAGTTGCAGTATACAAAATCAATGTGGAAAAATCAAAAGCATTCCTATACACCAATAACAGACTTAAAGAGAGCCAAATCAAGAATGAATAGCCGTTCACAATTGCTACAAAGAGAATAAAATACCTAGCAATACAACTAACAAAGAATGTAAAGGACCTCTTCAAGGAGAACTACAAACCACTGTTCAACAAAATAAGAGAGGACACAAACAGATGGAGAAACATTCCATGCTCATGGTTAGGAAGAATCAATATCATGAAAATGGCCATACTGCCCAAAGTAATTTACAGATTCAGTGCTATCCCTATCAAGCTATCAATGATCTTCTTCACAGAGCTGTAAAAAAAACATCTTAAACTTCATCTGGAACCAAAAGAGAGCCCACATAGCCAAGTCAATTCTAAGCAAAAAGAACAAAGCTGAAGGCATCACGCTACCTGACTTCAAACTATACTACAAGCCTACAGTAATCAAAACAGCATGGTACTGGTACCAAAACAGAGCTATAGACCAATGGAACAGAACAGAGGCCTTGGAGGAAATGCCACACATCTACAACCACCTCATCTTTGACAAACCTGACCAAAAAAAGCAATGGGGAAAGGATTCCCTGTTTAATAAATGGTGTTGGGAAAACTGGCTAGCCATGTGCAGAAAGGAGAAACTGGACCCCTTCCTGACACCTTACACTAAAATTAACTCCAGATGGATTAAAGACTTAAACATCAGACCTAACAGCATAAAAACCCTAGAAGAAAATCTAGGCAAAACTATTCGAGACAGGTATAGTCAAGGACTTCATGACTAAAACATCAGAAGCACTGGCAACAAAAGCCAAAATAGACAAATGGGGCCTAATCAAACTCCACAGCTTCTGCACAGCAAAAGAAACAGTCATTAGAGTGAATCAGCAACCAACAGAATGGGAAAAACATTTTGCAATCTACCCATCTGACAAAGGGCTACTATCCAGAATCTACAAAGAACTAAAACAGATTTACAAGAAAAAAAACAAACAAGCCCATTCAAAAGTGGGCAAAGGACATGAACAGACACTTTACAAAAGAAGACATATATGAGGCCAAGAAACATATTTAAAAATGCTCATCATCACTGGTCATTAGAGAAATGCAAATCAAAACCACATTGAGATATCATGTCACGCCAGTTAGAATGGTGATCATTTAAAAATCTGGAGACAACAGATGCTGGAGAGGATGTGGAGAAATAGGAACACTTTTACTTGGTTGGTGGGAGTGTAAATTAGTTCAACCATTGTGGAAGGCAGTGTGGTGATTCCTCAAGGATCTAGAAATAGAAATTCCATTTGACCCAGCAATCTCATTGCCAGGTTTATATCCAAAGGATTATAAATCTTTCTATTATAAGGACACATGCACACGTATGTTCATTGCAGCACTGTTTACAATAGCAAAGACTTGGAACCAACCCAAATGCCCATCAATGATAGACTGGACAGGGAAAATGTGGCACATATACACCATGGAATATTATGCAGCCATCAAAAATGATGAGTTCATGTCCTTTGTATGGACATGGATGAACCTGGAAACCATCATTCTCAGCAAACTGACACAAGAACAGAAAATCAAACACCTCATGTTCTCACTCATAGGTGGGTGTTGAACAATGAGAACACATGGACACAGGGAGGGGAGCATCACACACTGGGGTCTGTGTGGGGGAACTAGGGGAAGGACAGCGTGGGGTGGGGGGTTGGGGAGGGATAACATGGGGTGATATAGGTGATGGGGAGGAAGGCAGCAAACCACATTGCCATGTATGTATCTATGCAACAATCTTGCGTGTTCTTCACATGTACCCCAAAACCTAAAATGCAACAAAATATGTATTTTTAAAAAAAGTGAGAGACATCATCCCTAGATTTGGACTTCCTTTGCAAGTGGGCTCAGACAATGGGCCTGCATTTGTAGCCGACTTGGTACACAACATAGCAAAAATGCTAGGAATCAGTTGGAAGTTATAAGCCACCTACCATCCTCAGAATTCAGGCAAAGTGGAGTGAATGAACCTGACTATTAAAAACAGCTTGGGGAAAGGGCATCAGAAAACAGGGCTAAAATGGGTACAGGCCCTCCCTATAGTTTTAAAATTAGATGTACTCATTCTAAGAAAACTGGATATTCCCCATGTAAGATCCTACCATAGCCCTCTCCCCATCCTCCGGGGACTCCCAGGGACTCCCCAGAAATGTGAGGAAACTCAACTACACTGGCAGTTACAATAATACTGAAGCACACAGTTGGTCACAGTGAGGGATGTTTTACACAATTTATGGCATTTGATGTCCATGAAAATTGTAGAAGAAAGGTTTTTATTTTTATGGACAGATGAGAAAACAGGCCTCAGAAGGTTCAGAGATTTGCTTAAAGTCACATGGTAAGAACACGGCCACACTAGGACTCTCAGGCTCTGAACAGGACATTCCCCCCGGAGCAAAAGCAAAGACACTGCCCTGGGAGAAAGTTGGCACTTGTCTTCCCTAGGCACTGATACAATCTCATGGCGCTTCTCATCACCCATGGACTTCACCCACTCCCACTCCTCAGCCACCACTGGAGTGCGGTTTGTGAGCTCAAACCAAACACAAATGGCCAAGGGAAGACACATGTGGGAAGGTATGATCAGTTCAATTCAAACTCACTCTCTCACTCACTCTCACTCTCTCACTCTCTCTCTCTCTCTCTCTCTGTGCCTCTCTGTTTCTTCATTTTCAAAGCCAATGCCCTCCAAATCACACTGTGCTCTTTCCACCTACTCCAGGCTGTGTTCACCTGCGCTTCCACAGTGACTGATTCTTACGCCTGACCTTGAAACTCTGACTGCAAGTGGGGCCAATTACCTTTTTCTTCAGACTCCAGAATTTTCTGCAAAGCCAGGAAAGATAGACTGTTTTAGGAGCTCATTCAACTTCTGTTTCTCCACATTCTTTGTCATTGAGGCTGCTTGGAGGCTGAGCATGATCTAAGCTGTAAAGAATGTTTGGAAATTCATTAGGAAATATCTGAAGTTGGAAAAAAAAATCTTAAGTAACCTGTGCAAAATATTTCTTATTTACATATTAAAGAAATGGAATCTAAAGCTTACAGAGATTTAAATCCTGCTTAAATATGTGAGTTAACAAATGGACAAGCTGGGGTGCTGACACAATCTCTTTAAATCCAAAGCCAAAGCATACGAAGAATGAACTTCCAGGGACAGTGTCTGGTAACTGGCTTTCTCAAGGAAAAGACAGATTCCGGATCATTCCTTCAGGCTTTAGAGACCAAATTCTCTGTAAACAACTTGGAGTAGAGAAGTTATTGACTCATTTATTGAGAACCACGGTATGAAATATGAAAGATCTGAACCCTTAGTAATGTCCTTGATTTCAATTCATCTGTACTTTAGGAAAAATTAGTGCTATGGTTTTGTAAATCAGTGCTTATTTAAAAAACTGAAAGCTGTTCCATTTTCACTAGAATTTACCAAGAAATAGTTACACAAAAAGCAACCTGGATTACAATATTAACAGAGAATTTCTGCTCCTGGTAATGTTGACAATCATAACATGGATCAATGATCTTTCCAATGTTCCAGTGGTGGCAGGAATGACTCCCATCTTGGGCAACTGCTGCCATGTTGAACCACTGATAAACTTTGAGATCAATAAGGAATTGTGAAAAACATTTTCTTCACAAACAACTGGGCTCTCCACATATACAATACAAGGAAACTGGTCCTAATCTTTGAGAACACTTTGTATACAACTTATTTCTGATTCACTAATACAAATGCACTCTTGTACTAATGACTGGTAGTGCATTATTTGTTTAATCCACCAGTGAAGCAATCTGACAAACAATTATATAATCTAAATGAATTCCTATATAAATGAAAGCCTCTATATTCCTCTTAGGTAGTACAGTCTATAACTACTTCCCAGATGAAACCTCCATTCTGGAGTAAATACTTATTTGAATCTGGCTTGTTAATTTCATTTCTTTTGGATTTATTGATCTCACTTTCTTCTAAAGTCATAACTGGGTGTCTAACGCATACCTCTCTGTAAAAACATCTCTTTAAAACTTGTTATCTGGTCCATATGTTGCTTAGTTATGTGACTATCTGACTTATTCATTGCAGAAAACTAAAAGAAAATTAATCATACTTACCATGCTTACGGATTTGCTGATGTTCTTACTATTTAACTGTAGAATATTTCTCAACAATGGGGAGAGGAGTTGGGCCAGGTGGGAGCTTCCCTTTGGCACAGCTTCCATTCCACAGAGAAAAAAACACTAGACAAGAAAGACAAATAAGCAGGGTGATGAAGAAATCCATTGATGTGCTCTGTGAAAATGCAGTTGAAAGCTATGAGTCTAAAGATTCCGTAAACACAAACTGCAAACTCACCAATTATGTACTAAGACTTTGAACTTCAGATGATTGATCTTTAACTTTAGTACACACTGAATTGCTGAGAGAAGTAAAAACAAAAATTTAGTTTAGTATTGATTAGTTTTTACATTTCACCTAAAATTATAACTAAATGATAACTCTCACTTCTGGAAAAAAAAAGAATAATAAATAAATCAAAATTAACAGAAAGAAGAAAATAATAAACCTCAGCACAAAAGTAAATGTAATAGAAACTGAGAAGTAATTCAAAACATAAAAAAAAAGAGTTGCTATTTGAAAAGATGAAGAAAATCCATGAATTTTAGCTAGAATATTTAAGTAAAAAGTGAGAGAAAAACTCAAATACATAAAATCAGAGATAAAAAAGAGACATTTCAGATGATATTAAAGAAATACAAAGGATCATAAGAAGCTATTATGAGCAATAGCTATATGTCAATAAATTTAACAACATAGATTAAATAAATTTCTGGAGAAATACAGCCTTCTAATGTTAAATTATGAGGAAACAGAAAATATAACAGATAAATATATAGAGAGAAAATTAAATCAGTACTCAAAGGTATTCCATCAAAGGAAACCCGAGTACATGATAGCTTAACTACAGAATTCTGCCAAACATTTAAAAAGAACTAATACAAAATCTTCTGAAAGTATTTCAAAAACTAAAAGAAAAAATATTTTACATTAATTTTACAAGGTTAGTGTAACCCGATTCCAAAACAAAACAAGGACACACACATACACACAAGCTACAGACTAACAGCACTAATGAACTTAGATAAAAAAATCCTAGAAGGATACTAGCAAACCAAATCCAACAGCACACTGAAAAGATTATTCATTATGATCAAGTTGGATTCATGCCACAGATGCCATGATGGCTTATCATAGGAAAAAATATATATATGATACATCATATTAAAAGAAAAAATGACAAAAACATACAATCATGCCAATACATGCAGAAAATAAATTTGACAAAATTCAATATCCTGTTATTATGGAAACTTTCAACAAGCTAGGTATAGAAGGCTTACACCTCAACACAATAAAGGCCATATATCACAGCCCACAGCTGACATCATACTACATGAAGAAAAGCTGGAAGCTTTTCCTCTAGTATCAGGAAAAAAGACAAGGATCCTCATGTTTACGACTTATATGAAATGTAGTACTGGAAGTCCTAACCAGAGCAATTAGACAAGAAAAAAATACAAAACACATCCAAATTGGAAAGGAGGATTTTTAATTGTCCCTGTTTGCAGATGATATAATATTATATATAGAAACTCCTAAAGATTCTATCAAATACTGTTGAAACACATAAAATATTTCAGCAGGCCCAGTCTCCAGTTGGTAGGGGCACCCTCCCCTAACAGCCCCCTCCCCGGCAAAGCCAGCCATTTCCACCCTTGGTCAGACCAGTTTCCTGCCCCTCCCTCCAGCTGTTTCTGTGGCTGAGTTCTGTCCCTGTACCATTCAGGGAAGCCCCAGGTGCCAGCAGGGAGCTCAGGACTGAGTGGGGCTCCCCAGGAAGCCTCCAGGAAGACTGGGCTGTTCTAGCCACTGCCCTCTGGGGATTTGGAGGGGGATCTTGAATGAACAAATGAATGAACTGCTTTCTGGGCAAACAGCCACAGCCAGAGAAGCCATGTGATTGGGAGAAAGAAGCCAGAGTATTCAAGTCTCTCCAACAGCCTCAAGTGGCCTGAAGTCCCAGGGAACCCTCAGGAAGACCTTCTGGGCAGAGACCAGTGGGAAGACGGGGACCAAGATGGCTGAAAGGGAGCTTCTCCAGATTGTACCTCCCAGCTAATGAGACACAGATACAGAGTGATATCCATGTCTCCAAACAAGATAGGGTGTCCACTCAGAGATCCCACCCAAAATCACCAACTTTGAAGATCAAAGATAGATAAATCCATGAAGATGGGAAGAAACCAGTGCAAAAAGGAAGAAAACATCAAACTCCAGAACACCTCTCCTCCCCAGAGTGATCACAATGCCTCATCAGCTAGGTAACAAAACTGGTCAGAGAATGATTTGGACAAGCTGACAGAAGCAGGCTTCAGAAGATGGGTAATAACAAACTTCTCTGAGCTAAAAGAACGTGTTCTAACCCAATGCAAAGAAACTAAGAACCTTGAAAAAATGCTAGACAAAATGCTAACTAGAATAACCAGCCTAGAGAAGAACATAAAAGACTTGATGGAGATGAAAACACAGCACAAGAACTTTGTGAAGCATAACATAAGTTTCAACAGCCAAATCGATCAAGCAGAAGAAAGGATATCAGAGATTGAATATCAACTCAGTGAAATAAAAAAGAGAAGGCAAGACAAGAGTGAAAAGAAATGAACAATGCCTCCAAGAAATATGGGATTATGTGAAAAGACCTAATCTATGCTTGATGGGTGTACCTGAAGAGGACAGGGAAAACGAATCCAAGCTGGAAAACACTCTTCAGGAAGTTATCCAGGAAAACCTCCCCAACTAAGCAAAGCAGGCCAACATTCAAATACAGGAAATACAAAGAACACCACAAAGATACTCCTCAAGAAGAGGAACCCCAAGGCACATAATCATCAGATTCACCAGGGTTGAAATGAAGGGAAAAATGCTAAGGGCAGTTAGAGAGAAACGTTGGGTCACCAACAAAGGAAAACCCATCAGACTCAACCAATCTCTTTTCAGAAACCCTACAATCCAGAAGAGAGTTGGGTCCAATATTCAACAGCCTTAAAGAACTTTCAACCCAGAATTTTACATCCAGCCAAACTAAGCTTCATAAGTGAAGAAGAAATAAAATCCTTTATGGATAAGCAATTACTGAGAGATTTCATTGCCACCAGACCTGCCTTCCAAGAGCTCCTGAAGGAAGCCCACTGAACACAGGGGAAAAAATCCAGTACCAGCCACTGCAAAAACAAACCAAATGGTAAAGACCAATGATGCAATGAGGAAACTGCATCAACCAATGGGCAAAACAATCAGTGACAAAATGGCAGGATCAAATTCACACATAACAATATTAATGTTAAATGTAAATGGCCTAAATGCCCCAATCAAAAGACACAGACTGGCAAACTAGGTAAAAAGTCAATATCCATTGGTGTGCTGTATTCAGGAGACCCATCTCACATGCAAAGACACACAGACAATCAAAATAAAGAGATGAAAGAAGACCTACCATGCAAATGGAGAGGGGAAAAAAAGCAGGGGTTGCAATCCTAGTCTCTGATAAAATGGACTTTAAACCAACAAAGATCAAAAGAGACAAAGAAGGGCATTACATAATGAATGGATCAATACAACAAGAAGAGTTAACTATACTAAATATATATGCAGCCAATACAGGAGCACCCAGATACATAAAGCAAGTTATTAATGACCTACAAAGAGATAAGAGTCCCACAAAATAATAGTGGGAGACTCTAACACTCCATTGTCAATATTAGACAGATCAATGAGACAGAAAATCAACAAAGATATCCAGGACTTGAATGAAGAACTGGAACAAGTGGACCTAATAGACATCTACATAACTCTCCACCCCAGAGCTACAGAATATACGTTCTTCTCAGCACCACATTGCACTTACTCTAAAATTGACTACGTAGTTGGAAGTAAATCACTCGTCAGCAAATGCAAAAGAATGGAAATAATAACAGTCTCTCAGACCACAATGCAGTCAAATTAGATCTCAGGAGTAAGAAACTAACTCAAAACCACACAACTTCATGGAAACTGAACAATTCACTCCTGAATGTCAACTGGCTAAACAATGAAATGAAGGTAAATATAAAGATGTTCTTCAAAACCAAAGAGAACAAGGACACAACGTACCAGAATCTCTGGTACATAGAAAGCAGTGTCTACAGGGAAATTTATAGCAATAAATGCCCACATGAAAAATTAGGAAAGATCTAAAATCGACACTCTTTCATCAAAATTCAAAGAACCAGAGGAGCAAGATCAAAAAACCTCAAAAGCTAGAGGAAAACAAGAAATAACAGATCAGAGCAGAAACAAAGGAGACAGAGACACAAACACACAAAAAAAAGACTTCAAAAAGTCAATAAATCCAGAAGCTCGTTTTTTGAAAAGATCAACAAAATAGACTGCTAGACAGATTAATAAAAAAGAAAAGACAGAAGAATCAAATAGTTGCAATAAAAAACAATAAAAGGGGTATCAGCACCAATCCCACAGAAATACAAACTACCATCAGAGATTACTACAAACAACTCTATGCACATAAACCAATAAAGCTGCAAGAAAAGAATACATTCCTGGACACTTGCACACTCCCAAGACTAAACCAGGAAGAAGTTGAAACCCTGAATAGACCAACAACAAGGGCTGAAGTTGAGGCAGCAATTAGTAGCCTAACAACCAAAAAAAGTGCAGGTCCAGATGGGTTCACAGCTGAATTCTACCATAAATTCTACCAGACATACAAAGAGGAGCTGGTACCATTCCTTCTGAAACTATTCCAAATAATACAAAAAGAGGGAATCGACTCCCACTCATTTTATGAGACCAGCATCATACTAATACCAAAACCCAGCAAAGACGCAACAAAAAAAAAAGAAAACTTCAGGCTAATCTCCATGATGAACACAGATGCAAAAATCTTCTATAAAATATGGCAAACTGACTGCAACAGCACATCAAAAAGCTTATCCATCATGATCAAGTAGGCTTCATCCTGAGGATGCAAAGCTGGTTCAACATATACAAATCTATAAATATAATCCATCCTATAAATAGAACCAAACACAAAAACCAGATGATTATGTTCCTAAACCTTGCAAAATTCGGACCTGGCACATTTTGTGACTGACCTTCCTTGACTGCACCTCATTTTCTGTATCTGTAAAATGGGGAACCTTTCTCTAAGAGTAAAGAGGAGGCCTGACATAGGGAAAGAAACTCAGCTCAAACACCCAGAACATCCATTTTGCTCTCAAATATCTAATACAGGGGATCACTCTTTCTGCTATAATTTGTATTGAAGCTGATTCCATTTATTAAAGGTAATTCAGTTATGAA